CCCTAACCCTAACCCTTAACCTAACCCTAACCCTAACCCTAACCCTAACCTAACCCTAACCTAACCCTAACCCTAACCCTAACCACAGCGGTGGCAGCATGCTCAGCGGTCCCTTACACCCCCGGAGCCGTCGGAGCCGATCAACCGGAGTTCCCGCACCGTCCCCGTTGCTATACCAACGGTCCCCCACCCGGCGACGGCGTAGTCAGCGGTAGCAGTCCCGTTCCATAGCGGCATGCCCACCGATGCCTTCCCATGGACCCTGTCCCAGCGGCAACGTTCAACGGCGTGCTCGGCGATGCGGTCGGAGTCCCACAGTCCCCGTTGCCGTGCCAACGGTCTTCGATCCCCGGCGGCATGCTTGGCGATACACTCCCACGACAGCGATGTGCTTCCCAACTCCCTGGTGCTCCGTTAGCGGTTCCGTTCCACGGCTCGTCGCTACGGTAACGATCCCCGCTCTACAGCGGTATGCTCAGTGATGCCCTCCTATGGCCCCCACGTTCCATGACAGCGTGCGGTTAGCGGTATCCTTTCGTGACCCATCGCAGTTTGATACGGTCGGAATTCGGTTGATGGCCATAACGATCATCGTCACAGATTCCTCCACCCTCTCCGGAACTCCTCCGTTATTACGGGCCATCAACATTTGACGTTGCTATGGGGATCGGAGTTACGCGGGTAGCATACGCCTTGCAATTGGGGTTCTCGCTGTAGAGGATGATCGTACAGGCATGGCAAGGGAGACAGAAGATCTGCGGCTTGTCCATGTCCGTATCTTTACCCTCGCTTTCGTTAGCAAGTCCAGGTACAGGTATGGATAGGGGTAGAAGTAGAGGCGGGGGAGGGGGCGCTGATAGATGTAGAAGCGGCGGGGACACGGGCAGCGGTATTCGGATATCGTATCATCCGTAGACGATATCAACTGCTGCGGGAACGGGATTGGTGCCGCAACAAATGGGAGACATGAAAAAATAAGGTGAGAAATTCTACCAGGTCAATATGAGAAGATGCCTAGAAGCGTGTAGGAGCCACATCAGAAGCTGGGGGAATCCGTCAGCAAGCCCACACTTCATTCAATGTACGGATACCTTTCAGTCTGCTTGTGATTTTGTAATTGCGAATGTGATTGGGAAGGTCATCATAGGGGGTGTGGTAAGCGTTCGTATACCGAAACCAATACGAAATTCATCCTTTTCTTTTCTAGGCCAGCCCGCATATGTCACGCCATGAATCACCTTGTCCGGCATATTGGGAGCATTAGCGAGATCGAATCTTATATAGTTATAAATTCTTGTACAGTTTGTCGTGTAGTCGTATAAGTGATGTAGGAATATATGAATGTTGAGTCGATTACTGTACTTATGGAGACGTTGATATGGCCATTAGATAGCCCTGAAAAGGCCCTACCAGACACGGCTAGGAGCTTTGTTGATACCTTAGAGGCTGGCCGTGAGATTTCAAATAAGATCTGTCCCGCAGCGGACAGCTTTTAGTATGAGAATTGGATGTCGAGTCGATTACAGTAGCTAAGAGGACATCAATATGATCTTTAGATAGCCTTAAGGAATCCCTATTGAATACGTCTTGAACCTTGGTTGATACCCTAGCGGTTGGCTTGAATGATCTGAGTGAAACCTGTCCCGCAGCGGAAGGGTTTTCGCATAGTAATTTGGATGTCGAGTTGGGTGTAGGATGTACAACCTCGAGGCTATGCTTGTTGTATACCCCTCACCTATGGCTCCGGAATGATACTATTAGGACCGTTACAAGTACCTATATTGGGGGCACAATCCTCGAATATATATACTCCCGCAGAGGATAGGTTTTAGTATGGTATATTGAATGTCGAGTCGACGACGGCGCCTATGGAGACATTAGTATGGTCTAGAGATAGCCCCGAGGAGGCCCTATCAAACACGCTTGGAACGTTGGTTGATACTTTAACGGTTGGCCTGGATGACCTGAGTAACACCTGTTGCGCAGCGGAAGGGTTTTTACATAGTAATTCGGGTGTCGAGTCGGGTATTAGATATATAGCTTCGAGACTTTGCCTGTGAGATACCCCTTGCCGATGGCTTTAGAATGATGCTATTAGGACTATTATAAGTGTTGGTTTTGAAGGTATAATCTTTGATTATATATACTCCCGCAGCGGACAGGTTTTAATATGGTAAATTGGATGTCGAGTCGACGACGGCACCGATAAACACGTTGGTATGGTCATGAGATAGCCCCAGGAAAGCCCTATCAAATGCATCTAGAAGCTGAATTGAGACCCTAACGGTTGGCTTGGAAAACCCGAGTGATACCTGTCCCGCAGCGGAAGGCTTTTTACATAGTAATTTGGGTGTCGAGTCGGATATTGCATGTATACCTTGGAGATTACTCCCGTTAGATAGCCCTTACTGATAGCTATTAAATGGTCCTGGTAGGGCTACTATAAGTATCGGTATTGGGGATCCGGTCTTTAAATATATACTCGCGTAGTGGAAGGGCTTGGGATGTCGAATGAGCTTGGGACGTCTAGTCGGGTATTGGATATACAGCTTAGAGATTATACGCGTCAAGTACCCCTCACTGGTGGCTACAGAATGGTCCTATTGGGATTATTACAAGCGTTAGTATTGGGGGCATAGTCTTGGAGTGTATACTTATGCGGAAGGGTTCAATGTAGTAATTTGGGTGTCGAGTTGGATATTGCCCATATACCTTAGAAACTTCTTCCATTAGATAGCTCCTACCGATAGGTATAGAATGGCCTTATTGGGGCTGTTGTGAATGTCCATGTTGGAGTCACGGACTTCTAGTACATATTCGCCTAGCAGAAGGGCTTCAGATGTCGAGTGGGATATTGCACGTATGACTTAGAGATTACGTCCGTTAGATAGCCCTCACCGACAGCTATAGATTGGTCCTATTAGGACTGTTGCGAATGTCAGTACTGGGGGCACAGTTCTCGAGTGTACACTTGCGCAGCGGAAGGTCTTCACCATAGTAAATTAGATGTCGAGTCGGATATTGAATGTATGGCTTCGAGACTATGCCCGTAGGATACCCCTCACTAATGGCTACTAGACGGCCCTATTAAGGCTGTTTCAATTCTCGGTATTGGGGATACAATTTTCGAATATATATACTCCCGCAGCGGAGGCACTTTAGTATGGTATATTGGATGTCGAGTCGGATATTGCACCTATGCCTTAGGGAGTACTTTCTTTAAATACCCCTCACCAGAGGCTACTAAATGGCCCTATCAGGGCTATTACAAGTGTCGGTATTGGGGGCACGGTCTTCGATATATACACTCCCGCAGCGGAAGGGCTTTTACATACTAATTTCGATGTCGAGTCGGATACTGTATATCTCCCTTAGGAAATACATGCGTTAGGTAGCCCTCACCGATATTGAAAGAATGGTCCTCGTAGGGCTATTATAAGTGTTGGTATTGGGGTTACACCTTTCCAATATATGTACTTCCGCAGCGGACAGTTTTTAGTATGGCATATTGGATGTCGAGTTGAATATGGGACGCATATGTCCAGAACCATGGTCATTAAATGCCCCTCGCCTATGGCTATAGAATGAAACCAATAGGGTCATTATACGCCTTTATATTGGGGTCACCATCTTCGAATATACCCTCCCGCAGCGGAAGGGTTTTTACATACTAATTTTGATGTCGAGTCGGATATTGACCGTATGGCCGAGACACCGTACCCGTCGATAGTCCTTACCTATGGCTATGGAATGGTCCCATTAGGGATATTACAGGTGTCTGTATTGGCATCGATATCTTTGAGTGTATATACTCCCGCAGCGTAAGGGTTTTACCATAGTAAATTGGGTGTCGAGTCGGATATTAGACTTATAGCTTAAAGATCATCCCCATGATATACCTCTCGCTAATAGCTATCGATAGACTCCAGTAGGGGTATTAGAAGTCCTCTCCTTATTATACAATTTTCGAGTGTACATACCCCCGCAGCGTAAAGGTTTTACCATAGTAAATTAGGTGTCGAGTCGGGCATTGAACATATCGCTTAACGGCTATCAATGTGACGTACTTCTCACCAACGGCTACATATTGATTCCCGTAGGGGTATTAGAAGTGCGCTCCTTGATATACAATTCTCGAGTGTATATACTCCCGCAGAGGATGGATTTTAGTATGGTATATTGGATGTCGAGTCGGGTATTGAACTTATAGCTAAACTATTATACCCATGAAGTACTGCTCACTAATGGCTACAGATTGACCCCAGTAGGGGTATTATATCTGCTTTCCTTGATATACAATTTTCGAGTGTACATACTCCCGCAGCGGACGGGTTTTAATATGGTATATTGGACGTCGAGTTGGATATGAGACGTATAGCTTAGCAACCACATCTGTGGGATACTTCCCACTAATGGCTATAGACTGAGACCGGTAGGGGTATTACAAGTGCTTTCCCTGGAGTGCAATCTTTGAGTTTACACACTTCCGCAGCGGAGGGATTTTAGTATGGTAAATTGGATGTTGAGTTGGATATTAGACTTGTGGCTTCGAGGCTACCTTAATCAGATGCTGCTTGCTAATGGCTACAAATCGACCCCGGTAGGGGTATTGTAAGTGCTCTCCTTGATATAATTTTCGAGTCTGTATACTTATGCAGTACAAGGATTTTAGTATGGTAAATTGGACGTCAAATTGTTTATTTGACTTGTGGCTTAGAGGGTAAGTCCTTTCGATACTGCCTTCTCGTGGCTATTGAATGACCATGGAATGACCCTCCTAGGGCTATTATGAGTGTCTGTCGGAGGTATAATCCTCGAGTATATACACTCATGTAGCGGAAAGATATGGTAGATTCGACGTCGAGTTAGATACTGGATGTATGGCCGAGGAACGACACCCATGAAATACCCCTCGGCGGTGGCTATTAGAGCCATTACAAGTGTCTGTGTTGGAGGCATAGTCCAACGTAGTACTCGACGCCCGTCTTGATCCATTTCTCGGGAGGGAGATGTGGGTGGATGAGCGCTGGTTATGTACGAGGAGCAAACCTCCTTGGACATACCGCTCCGTCAAGTCAGCCCAGAAGGTGACGCGGGCCGATTTGAACTTCTTCGGGATATATACCTTGATATATACCTTCGTGCAGCGGAAGGATTTTAGTATGGCAAATTGGGTGTTGAGTCCAATATGGGATACATGGCTTAAAAGACTATATTAGTAGGTACGGCTGGCCACATGGTATCTAACGAGCATGGTACGGGCTTTGTGGGTGTTGATCTCGGGGTACAGTTGTTGAGTATATATGCCTGCGCAGCGGACGGGTTTTAGTATGGTGAATTGGATGTCGAGTCCAATGTCGCGTATATGGCCTACAAGACTATATTACCAGGTACAGATCACTACGGGCTATTAAACGAACATGACATCGGCCTTATAGGTGCTCATCCTGGGATAGAATCCTTGAATACGTACACCTGCGCAGCGGAAGGGCTTTAGTATGGCGATTTG